ATTAAGAAGCTTGAGCTTCCCTTTCTATAAACAGCTCCTTTATGAGGGAAATGTTACATTAAAAAAGCTCCAAGGTCCAACACATACATTTTTCAACTGTATGAGGACAGAGTCCATCAAGGAGCATGACAGGGTTTAAAATGGTCTCTGGTCCAATGAAGTTTGCCATAAAACATTGATGAAAAAGGATATCATTTCACATAATAAATCAATATGAAAAGGGCAATCAAAGCACTGCATTTAGGCCTTTTTATACACAAATCATATGTATATGTATGTCAGAGAACAAGTATCTTCTCATGCAAAGGAAACCATAACAAAGAGGCAGCACATGTATGCGGCCCATAACACTATGTGTATCTTCACAAACATCCCAATTAACATCTGTTAAGATAAGTAACTTTACACTTTAACCAGCGCAGCAGACGCTCTGCCACACTTTACACCCTCTGCCCCAAGTCAGACTCCCTCTTATTCTCTGACCCCCCACAGTCAGCTGAAAAACCAAGAAGCCATTTAGTGGCAGCTAAATACAACACTTTTATACACTATCAAATGTCATTATCTGCAGCCCACTGTCTGGTCCATTAAGCACTCATTAGAGGAGGGAGGCTATGTTAGCGCACAGCAGTAAGTGCTGCCTGAGGCTTTATTTAGCTCATTTGGGCATCAGGGGTGTGGAGGGATTTATCAGCTGTGCACAGAGAGAAGCTGCTGGGGTAATAATAGGCAAACAATTATGAAAACATGTATTTAAATGTTTTTTTCTCCAGGTTAGGTTGTTATAGTAACTAATCCTTAAGTACAAACCTAAGATCCTAAGCTAAGCTAACCAAAGCTTGAATCTAAGGTTGAATCAATCATATAATTCAACCACAAATGTCATACAGTCACAAAGGAGTAGATAAGCTGAGTTTTCAATGTTAATCGCTTTTAAACTTTGATTTTAGACTATTTAGTCATTGATATTTAATGTTATTGAAAAAAATATATTTTAGGGGCTTTAAAGCTGTTTCGTTATTGCATATTATTGGTCACTTGGCTAAAAAATGACTGTCAGATATATGGCGGCAACACATCACTACTATGCACACTTGGAAAGTTCATCGACTGAGAAAAGGAGAACAGGTAATGTGTCCGTTAACAAAGGAAATTGTTGGCCTGAATATGATTTTTTTGGTCAAGTAAACTAAAAATATTGAATTGTGTTGCTAACAACATCAGAGTAGTTATGTCAACAATTTGTATTACGTTTCTTGCGTAAAGTTTGTCTACTTTCATAAGTTAAGTTGGCAAAACTTAAACAATTATAGCTTTTAGGTCAACTAAGTTATGTAAGCTTGATTCGCAAAAGAATGGGGTCTCCAACGGAAATCTGCAGGGGTCTTCATCTCCACTCCGATTTCCCACATTTGCGGCAATCTCTCCTGCTTTAAACTCTCCTGATTTATCTTCCTGAAGTTAGCACTTTGTTTAAATATTGTGTCATTTTGATGGACTAGGTTTGTTTTTTGTATGACAATATTATTTGGCACAACTTGTCCCGTTGAATTCTTATTAGGTGGAATTCAAAATGATACGTTTTTAATAAATATGAAAGAAACAATTTCTGAGCAAAAAATAATAATGGAATTCTTAGTATGAAGAACTCAAAACTTGTAGTTGTCTCAACAAAAGATTATTAGTTGGCTCAAATGTAGGCAGTTTTCCCTAAAAGCGTTTTAGTTGACCTAGAAACTCAAAAATCTAGTGCAGGCAGTTGCTTTGACATTTTAAGTTGTCTACTTTACTCTATAAAAGCAATGATAACTTTTCTTAATGAACATTTTACGAGATGATTTATACATTAAAACTATGTGGAATCTCCACATTCTAGCTTCCTTATATTGAAATGAAGATTTTACTTTTATTTGAAGAGATCAGGAAAATTACAGAACTGTATTCTTTGAGGCTTTAAATGTCAGTTTTGCTTCAAATATTCCCTCTTACCTCAGATCCTTCTGAGTCTGAGCAGGCAGACTGAAGATACAAGGGAAAAACAATCAGACACAAAGGTGAGGTGAGACAAAAAGAATAAAAGACATTTACGAAATGATATAAAAGGTTTGTTGTTGTTGTTACAGGAAGCTTTTGCTAATGCAGCCCGCCTACCCACCATGTCATCCTCCCCTTCATTGTCAGTGATAGCCTGGTGGAGATGGTATGGAAATAAAAACAAACAAATTATGAAAAAAAAGTATGACGAAGAAAATATGAATACATAAAGATAACACTAAAACATAAGATACAGTCTGAGGTGTGGTGCTGTGCTCAGGTTAAGCTAGAAGCCATTGAAAGTACATGACACACTAGTTTAAGTAAGGATATTATAACTTCCTAAATTAACCACCAATCAAAGTCATTGTATCATTTGTTACAAACATCCTTATAATGGACAAAGTGATCTACCATATTTTACAATGTTATAGATTAAATTAGCCAGTAAGGTACTCTATTATGTTACGTGTGTGTGTTTGTGGGAGATAACCTCCCTCTGGAGGAGCTTATGGATGTTAGCCTTTGCAGCCATTTACATGCACCAAAACCATGATAACAATACAAGAAAGGGAAAACTCCTTTTAATGTGACAGCATACAGATATTTGACGATTAATGTTTGGGTGTCCACATACGTTTAGCTATGTTGTGCATTTGCTATTAAAAAATAATAAGTAAAGAAAAATAAATAATTATCTTTTTATATTTCTGAGACTCTAACCTAAACTTTTCTAACATAATTAGTTTTGACTTGATGTAGAAAGATGAGCACAGGAGTAGACAATAACATTAACGATGTCAGTGAGCTAGCATGTACAATGATTGATTTATGTTATTGGGTACACCCGTGTGTGAGACAAGTGAAACAGTTTAAGCAATAAAAAGTAATTTTTTAAAATTGAACGATTAGTTTGAGGTTGTGACAGTCGACAGGTTGACCCACCTCCTCATCTAACTCCTCGGGTTCCTCCTCATTCTCAAGCTTTTGGAAAGAAGCAGCGGCGTATTGAAAAGTAGAATTATTTTGTACATACATCGTATTAGATGGGAAATATTATTTGTGGGGGTAAATACCAGGAGTATAGGAAGGAGGAGGAGATATCAGGATTCAACTAAACATAGATACAGTACTGGGTAACAAGGGGTTCAGGGCGGGTATTTGATTCAGGGAGTGTTTGGTTGTTGATGTTTTTGTTCCAGGAACAACAGGAGAGGGGAGCGAGGGTAAAAAAAACCCTGACATACCCTGTCCTCCTCAGCAGTTAACTGTAGAGAGAAAGACACACGCTCATTCTCACCTTACTTACAAAAACAATATCTGGGCAAACCAATGACAAGACCAGCTACTATAATAGAGCGTAATCCACTGTTATTTTACAAAAATATTTCATAAGATTACCTCAAATTTAAATAGTCAAGTTAATGTCCCAAGATAAATACAAGAGGTGGAATGTATCACTATGTATATACTGTAGATTTCTACTATAATTTGTCAAGGTTTCCACATTGCTCAAAGGTGGCACGTTACACAAAATGGCGAAATTAAGCACAAACAAACAAAAGAATATAGATGTCTTGAAAAACACTTTGCTGCCTCTCTTGTAGCCAAAAATGAAAATGTACGTAAAATAATTGCATTTCAGTTATTAGGTCACACCTGGTGGACGATGAGTTGAACAAAATCTGTCTGTCTATAGTCTATACTGAGATGTACCAATTCCAACAGGATTCTTGCTCTTTCATCACCATAGCAAGAAAAGCCTTTGGTGTGAACTTCTGTAAGCTCAAACTTAAATCAAACATCAGACCAGATATTCAAAATCCAGAAACAGTTATTGAATATGTTGTGATTATATATATGTCTTAATTATAAGTCTTGTTTGTTTTTTTCGAGACCAAAAAGAAACTTGTTGCTGCAACCTTCATGTTTGTGCTAGACTTTGATGATTTAAATATGAATGCATCTTCTAAATGCCATGCTCTCTGGATACTGTCTAACATGGGGCACTAAGATTTATCAAAAAACGTTAGTTTATTGCTCCTTATATGCTCGGGTTGGATGGTCTGCCCTGACCACCTGTAGACTATCCTCACTTATAAGGCTATTATTGGTGTTCTATCATGTAATCTACGGATTTATATACTTATGAAAAATACAGGAATTCATTGGCTTGCAATGAGGACTTGTTTTTACTAACTGTCCCAAAAGTCGACACTGAGCTGTTGAAAAAAGCGTTTGGTTATGCGGCTCCATTTGCAGATTTAAAGTGCTTCTTAATGACCGACAAGCAGGCAGCTCTCTCTGAAGATGCTTTGTATGATGTGGTTTCTGATGGTGATGATATGTTCACTGTTCTAGTTTTAATTTGTTTCTGTAACTGTGCTGCTGCATATCTTGGCCATGACTCTCTTGTAAAATTGTTTAATCTCATGGTTCAATGCGTGTTTCCCTTTTGAAATATATGTTTTTTTGTTATCAGGTTCAATTGTGTCTCTTTGGGGTTAATGAGAATAACACTGTTTCCACCATTTTAAGGAAAATGGGGTTCAATCTATGCCACGCGTGACAAGTTTGCCATTTTATGTGTTGCCTTCCATGCTTGAAAAGCATTTGAAAAGTTCAAAACATTCTCTGGTCTGAAAAAAGATATCTCCAGTCACTTTATATCCTGCTGTGGGCCATACCAGAGCATGTCGTTAACATCACACCTTTCCCACAAATTGACCAAGAAAGCCTGGTTAGAGCCCCTCGTTGATAAGTAACACCTGGAAAATGTCCCTTGTTATTAAACCCCCCAAAAAGCAGCATCGGGTTTTGACGTTTGACCTCGAATTATACAAAAAAACGCTATCCAGTGGCCGCATGTTGACTTGAAAAACTCTCAGGACTCCATGCCAGATGATGAAGAACCACTGATGGAGGACCAGTGTTAGGTGTGTGTGTGTTTATCTGTTATTGCTCACCTGTTTTGCTCCCATCGACTCGAACATCTTCTCCAACAGGACCCTCATCTGCTGGATGTTGTTCATCAGCACACAGGGCTGGAGTAAGATAGATGAGGGAGATAACAGGTGTAACAAAAAGATGGAGACAGAAAGTCAAGAAGGCAAAGAAAGTAAAACAAAAAAAATGAAAGTCATGAACAGACAGGAAGAAGAAATAAGCCAACAAAGAGGAAACAAAGGCGTTCAAGAGTTACAGAAGTGGGCAGCAGCATATAAAGTATTAATACACTCATAGAGAGTGCTTTATCTCTAGTGCTAAGTCTCTCTCTCTATCAAGATGAGCTCTGAATGAGGAGGTTTGGTATCAGACCATGCAGCAGTACTCACTATCTTTTCCTTCTCACAGTAGGAGGGAAAGCTCTTGGCCAGCACGGCACAGTACTGCAGCAGCACTTTGGTGATCGTCTGTGGAACAAGACAACACAGGAAGAACATGTTTACTCTGGGAACTTCTGGATTGTTGAATCTGAACACCGGTATTTACGTTTGTTTGGTCAGATACGAAGGAAGGAAGAAGTTGCAGTCTTCATTATGCGTGGTGATTTGGTTGGCGGATGTAGGTTGGTAAAATAAAACTGTTCCTACATGAAAATGCTTCTAACAACGTCTGTAGATCAGGTTCAGTAAGAGAGTCATGATATAAGTAAAGAGAAATTAATGTATTTTTTTAAACGTAGTTTTTGGGTCAATTTGAGCCCAACAAGTGGCATCAAGTTCCTTTATATTTCAAGGAAAGGCAGACTTCTCTACAGCTGATACCTCAAACACTCAGCAACTCACATTAAAACAATGTGGATAAAAAGCAACACAGGTAAGAAGGAAAGATATGTTTTTCTTTCTTTGGGATGAACAGTCTCTTTAACCCTAACCCTAAGTTCTGAGTATTTCCATTTAATGCTACTCTGTACTTCAACTTCACTTAATTGTACACGATTCAAATATTGTACCTTTTCACTTTTTTTGTTAGTTGAGTTACTTTGCAGATGTATTTTATAATTCAATGACAATTCCACAGAACAAATCAAACAAATGAGTAAGCAGCAAGTCCAGTATGTCTAGCCAAATTACAAGTAAAGAAACTGGAGTTGTTTTGAGTGACAGTGTGAGTTCCACTGTCATCCTGCCTGATGACAGACAGCATTATGTTTATTTGGCAACATATCCTCAGTTTTATGTGATCGTTTCTGTTTTTACAAAGACCTTCCTGCCAATCAGAGTCTGTAGGCGGCACTCAAGGGAGATTTGTCTCTATCATGTATCTCTCCTGATGAGCAGTTTCTCCGGACAGTGGCTGCATCTCACTTCGGTTAAATGGATTCCTTGCGTCCCTCACTTGCGTCGTTTCCCTGCGACTAGTCCCTCCCACCAGGGAAGCATGGAGAGACGCAAGGAAACCACGAGAAGCAGGGAAATGAGTTTTAAGAGCAATGGGACGTCGTTTCCTCCGGAGCGCCACGTGAAGCGACGTCCGTTTGTGATGACGCCGCACAGCTGATCGTCTGACAGCAGCCAGATCAGTGCATGCACTGCATCGTCCAATCAGTGAGCGATACACAGTAAGAGGGCGGGGCGAGTGTCTGAGGATTTCACCGGAGGATGGTCTGGTAGTTCCTCGGTTATCGCTCCTCCGTTATCACTCCTCGATCCTCCGGCAAAAATAAGGCCACTGGGACGCTACTCAAGATGGCACAGACAAATCAACTTCCGGTGATACCGAGCCCGAGGAGCGAGGAAATGAAAAATAACCCAAGTGAGACGCACCCATGGTCTTCTCATTTTGTTCAGCCATGTTGGCTCTCACACGCATCAAGACAATTCTGTTCAACAAAGCATTTATGTTGTTGCCAAAAGAAGAAAAAACGACTTTTCCATTTCCTTAAACACATTCAACTCTTCAATGTGAGGTATGGGAAAAATCCGAGCAGCATTTCTAGCACAATAGTTTAACTGTGAAAAGATGTTGGCAAATTATCGAGGTATCACACACTTGGGTGCTATAGTCTCTCCTAAACAGTTATTAACTTTGTCTTTTCACACATAACATTGAAATTGCTTTCCCACAAGGGTGAAAAAGCTTATCAATCAGAGGGGTAAGACACCACAAAGCTGTTTCTCTTGCTGATTTGGAAGGAACCCTGTGGAAGTCGTTCTAAGGATTTTGGTGTATTCATGAGCTTTAATTCCTTTTTTGGAAACAACGTTGATGCTTCAAAGAGTATGTTTTGTATTGAATTTCTCAGAGCGTTTCCAACACCCATGCTTAACCTTTTCACAAAGTTCCATTAAAATTGGACCGGTAGTTTTTACTAAATCCCGACAGACAAAAAGTCAAACCAAGCCGAAGACATATCTTACATATTTCAAACTATTCCATGGAAAAGTGTATGAAAAAGTTCAATGTGGTTATGAAATCCATTATTTAGTTCTTCAGGATACACACACAAAGTATTTTGGTGAGAAACAATTAATTTCATGTTTGTTTACAAACCACAGGGTACTAAATAAACCAGCGGGGTTATTTATTGGTTGTGATGGTTACTTGGGGACAGGAAATTACAAAAAAGTGTTGCTGTGACTTCACAGCATCTCCAGATCGCTGTGAGAGATTTCCCTACTTTCCGCTGAGTCAGCCAGTTGGCCCACTTACATTCATGCATTAAACATGTGGCCTGATGGCTGTCTGCTTTATTTCCTCTCGTTGTACAGCTCGTCCCCCCCTTTATTCATTTTCTGCCGCTGTCTGTCTTTGAGTGTCATCTCATACTTTTCTGAAAATGAACTATGCTGGCATGGTGGCAGGGGGATTTATTTTTATTTAAGGTAGCCTACAGGCCCAAACGCGTTACAAAGGCCCAACACATTTCCATTTGGAGAAACGCGCTGCAGTTTCGAAAATGATGCAAATAAAAAAACATAAAAGTGCCAAAACATCTTCACCAACTTGAAGAAACATGCATAGCGTTCATTAAAAGTGCTGCATAAACATTCAATGCAAATAGAAAACGCTGCAAGAAGCTCAAAACACATCTGATATTATTGCAGATAAGCTAGCTAGTTAACGTAGCTAACCTAGTCATTTCAAATGTACTGATAAAAACACTTAATAACAGTGAGAGTGTTTTGATTTGCATCGTTTTAGAAACCTCCGCGCATTTCACCTAATGGAAATGTTTTGGGCCGTTGTAGCGCTTTGCACATGTCGACCACCGTAGGATATAGATGGAAAATGTGACTGCAAAATAAAGACGGGATGAAGGGACGAGAGGATGGTAGAAGAGCAGATGACAAACTAAAGACTGAGACATGGAGGAGATGAAAAGGTAGACGGAGACATTAACAGGAGTGGAATCGAAAAAGCAGTCAAAGGTTGGGGACAGAGAGATGCACAGCTCAGAGTGATGGCTTACATTAGCCATTCTTTATTTAATGAGTCCTATATTGATCGAGCCATCACACCACACACACACACACATAAATATACGTGCACACAACTCTTCTGCAGGGAAAGGTTTGTTAGATGTAATGGCTGTGCCTAAAAGCAGCTGCATTAAATTAAATAAGAAGAAAGAAATATGACATCAAAGGTTCAACTACAAAAACACTGCACTGTATACATTTGGCAAAAACAGAAAAACATAAACCTGAAATCAGACAATATCTCAAAGGCACACAATATTCAATAAGTCCAATAAAGAAGAGTTGTGTGGGGAAAGCTCTTAAGATTACTAAAAGCTGCACCAGTGAGGAATTTTTATTCAGCAATGCCTCAGTGATGGAAAACACTTTATAAATCCTATTAAAAAAAATAATATTTGTACTTCCCACATCCACACATTAGAAAAGAAAGTGTGCAAACGTACTTATTGAAAACTAATCATCTTAGTAGAGAGAAGCTTAAAGTTTACTACATTTAATTTACAGGATATTTATGTACCAACATCCTCAAAGATATGCGTTGTTAAACTACCTAACTGGTTTATATGTGTCCCTTTTTACACCAAAGGAGCACCAGCATAAGCAAGAGCATAAGGAACCTTTTAAATGGAATGGAGAGCAGATTTTTCAAGAAGTTGATTTCATAAAAGAAGGCCAAACTTATTCTGCAGTTTGTTCGAGGATTCTATTATGTTTGCGGGCGACGTCAAAATACAATTGGAACACAGACATTGCAAGTTTCTTTGAAAACGGCCTATATATGTAAAGAATGAGTATTCTTTAATCTTAAAGATTTTCAATATAATATCATGTAAAGGAAAATCAGCAAATTTAAGAATTTAAGAAAATATTTGGCATTTCAGCTGCGATATCTCCCTATCTATACGTTACATATGTGTGTCAACATTTCGCAGACATATTTTCACATTTAATATATTAAGCATCCCACCAGGGCCGCAGACTATGATATGAAACCACTATTTTCTTTGATAAACAAGCTCTGTTTTGATGCTTTTTTTTATGCATTCTGGCACCTCACTTACATGCAAAAATCATTTCTCAATTGTTAGAAACATTTGAATGTGTGACATTACCCGCAAACACTACTATCGTAGAAATGTATCACAAGTCTCATTTAATTATATATATGACACTTTAACTTTCTGCCTTGGGCTGATTTTCTCACAGTTTAAATGTTTCAGTTCTATGTAAACTACCCCTGTCACTCCCAGGCTTTTATCACACCTTTAATACAAAAGAATGGCAACCTTCTGTTCTGACCATTGTCAGGTCAATTATCATACGGGTTAAGGCCCTGACAAACCAAGCAGTCACCAGAGAACTCGCCAACGCCGACGCCGACGCCGACTGTTGCGTCGCCGTGTTCTCCTGCGTCTTGGCCATGTGTCGCACTGGAACACACCGCAAAGACTTCAGCCGAGCACGTACGAACTGCGCATGCGTGAGTGGCAATAACTCTCCTTACCAGCAGGCGGCGGTAGTGTGTATTCGTCATTCTAAAGAGGCAACAACCGGAAGACAGAGAAGAAGAACAGACTGCGTGATCTAAACAAACAACAAATAGCGTGTGCGTTCCATTTTCACTATCGTCCATCGAAAACATGTTTCGTGCGGTACTGGAGCTATCAGCCATTGGAGTGTTGCTTGTGGAAGACATTCTCAAGCAACAGTTTCGCTTCTCATGCACTGATTCGCTTGCTGAACAGCCAATCAGAGTGATTTCTTTGTCCGACTGCCTGTGGCCGACGCACGGCCGATTCAACATGTTGAATCGGCCGTGCGTCGGCCATGAAAGGCCAAATAAGGCGTGTCACGGCCGACGGTGCGGGACACACCGAATTGAGTTTGGGCGACAGGGCACGCTTCGTCGTCCGACTAACGAAAACGGCCGATTTCGGCCTGGTGTGTCAGGGCCTTTACATGTCAGAGCTTAACCCATCTAGCCACCAATCTTCAATACTCTGTAATGTAATCACTATGCAAGATGACTGGCTGAGACCTTCCCATTCCTGTGTCTCTTCCCTGTATAAAGTCATTGCTTTTCTGTGTAACTTGGTTCAGATTTCTTTAGTACACATTGGTGCAGGGTTACCTGGCCTTCCAGCTGGAAATATATAGATTCTGTTAAATGCTATAACTCTTTATTAAGTAACACAACTTTGGTTTAAGCTTGTATATTTGTTATTTTCTTACCAGAAGCTGATTAAGTGTGGAATTTCAACCACAACTACAAGATGAAATATGAATAGTGATGTAAGAATATTTACTCTCTCGTCTATATCTATATATATATATATATATATATAGATCTCACCTTGGCGAAGCGCCGGTTGTAATGAGCCACCACAGCGGGGTCAGGGCAGTCCAGCTTCTTGATGATCTCAAAGCTCTGGTTGAGCTGAGTGAAGATGTCCACCACGGAGCAGGAGAACAGAGCATGCTCAGACGTCTGCTGGAACTGCAGGTTGAGGGAGAAGGACACAAAATGCAGAATTTTAGCCCACTGGTACCACGGTTTCATTAAATCAAGACAGCGACTCTTCACATCCGCTCTGCTTTCTTCAAGATTCCTTACAACAATTTCCTCCCTGACTCATGTGTCCACTTAGTCTCCTAATAACTCAAGCCATTCCTATTTCTATTCCTAGCTACCATTAATGTGAATGTGTGTAATTATTATCATTTCACTCTGACCATTGCAGTTATTATTAGACATTTAAAATTATTGCTGGTCTAGGAATAAAGGGCTTATTTAGCTATTGCACTATTCCTATTCTCGGATACATTCTTTAACAGTTAACTGTTCTTTTTGAGCGCAGATGCAAATATAAATGGTGCCCAGAGGGGTCAGTGTGGTAGTTAAGAGAACCATGCCACATATTTCCCAATTGATTGAGTCCTGCAGATGTATCCTGTGGTTACTCTCTTTTAGCAACCTTCAGACTTTGGATCCATAGTTACAGTTATATTAGAGCAGATAACCACTTAATGGTTCCTCAATAAAATCTGTCTCCTAATGGACTCCCCATAATCTCCGATAAATTGTAAGAGTTGTGCTATCAGGCTACTTAAGAGTAAAGACGTATAGATAATGTGTGCTGAGTAATGTCATTTTTTCTTATAGTATTTCCTGCATTTGTTTGCCAATCAACCCTTAACATAATATCAAAACCTCACCGCCACCCTAGCATCAACCTGTAGATCCTGTGGCTTTCCAGTTGCCATAGACTAAATGTTAGAAATATAGACACCCATTGGTTTATTGACAAGTTTGGCCATCGCCATCTTGTTTTTTTGTTAGGCAGCTCCATGTTTAAAGTGACTTTCCTGAAAACACTGTGATTAAAGTGGTAAGAAGAAAAAAAAGACAACAACCAAACCCGACAACACCACTTGGTAGCGACCTGTCAATCGCAAGGTACCCATGCTCTAACTCTGTTTTATCGTCTATTTTACTCTAAATGGGAACATAATTTACAAAAATGTACATCATGTCGAATTGAAGAATTGAAATAAGTAATCGAGACCATAAACTCATTGGAAAATGGTTAACTGAGGTAAAAAAACAAGTGTATAGACTTCTATACAATCAGACATTTTTGGCCATTAGTGGAGTTGCTCCCTGCTGGACATTAAAAAAAGAAGCATTAAGGCACTTCTGCATTGGCTTCACTTTTCAGAACTGGAGGTTGTCCCAGAAAGCATGTCGGCCATTGTAGCAAATTGTCATAATGGCCAAACTGTGGTATTACACGTCCATTCTGGTCAGTGACGTCAATTGGGCGCAAAAACACCTTTTCTCATTGACTTACATTAGAAAAGACATTTGTAAATGAGCGCAATTGTTTTTTTTTGCCACACTGTATGCATTTCTCTTTATACATCCATGCTTAGGTGTGACTAGAAATTAACATCTTAGTTTAATGTATTACGCATTTACGTATATTTATTCATGATTTACGTAAGTCCTTTAATGTAACTTCAATAAGCCTTGGTGGGAAGAAGATTCCGTTTTGTACTTAACAAAAGCTGTACTTTAATTAATTTGAGGGCCAATAAAAAAGGCTTCCGGTAAATAACGTGCCCTCTGCGTTGACAATGCGTTGACAATGCCATCTCATTATGCAAGCACACAGCACTGGCAGGTCACTTTTAGACAGATCTGAACTGTCTAAAAAAACAAGCTTCAATCCTCCACTAGAAGAACAATATGCTTTCAATTAAGTTTACACATAACTAAACTGCTTATGTGCAAGCTTGTGTGATCATTGTTCTCTAATGACCAATAACAACTTTTGGAAATCATACTATTAATTGAACTCCCCCCAGAGCCACAACAGACAGATAAAGTGCCTCTATAGGGACTAACAGGAGGATCGAGAAAACACTCGTCCATCATTCTGATAATGTAGGACTGGCTGGCCAAAAGCTGAACTCGAATATATGAATCAAAGCATCGTTCAACAAAAGGTCTGTTTTTCATTCTGTTTTTAATATCAGTGTTGTACAAAGCTGCGCTTTCTCTACTTATTCCATACAATACGATCAGCCACTTAGAAAAATGTGTTTTCAATGTGCTGCTGGAAGATACAAATGTTCTAGAAGAAGCTCTTACATAATGCTAGGTTTGGTTATGCTGTACAATTAAGTAGGTTTTATTTAAAAAATAAACCAGTTGTCAGTTTTTTAATCACACGCAGGAATCGTGAGCGACATTTCAACATCCCTCTTAATTAGTAGCAAAAGCAGCCTTATGGTGATTGTTTCTAAAATCATTTTACCATTGTTTCTCAAAATGTTAATAATCTGTTACTTCTCATTCCCCTCTTAAATCTTCTCCTGGTTGTAAACTATCTCACAGTTCATGGATGTTGTGCACATTACAGAATATGAATTCTTACATTTATGCAATCTTGTAAAAAAACAGTCATAACTGTTTGGATCAAATGTATTATCTCAACCAATTTAAATTAAAAAATGAGATTCATAATATCGCCTTCTACCCGAAAAAGAGGTTCTGCAGCACAGGCAGGATGAGAAAGATAAAGACCTTTTTGATCACTAAAGCATGGAAACATGTCACAGTAGAGGAACAAAATATAATAATGAACCGCAAAATATGTCCTCATAAAAGAAAGGATACTGTGCAAGGTCGAAGGAACAGTCACATGCTGGATTTTAAAAAGCTTGAGGACAGTTTTTGAAATATTTTGGTGAAATCTGACCATAAAGACATGGCTCACATATTCTTTATTCAAAATCTTTTTTGTAATCCTAGTTTAGTAGATGGTCAATTGACCTTATCCAGTACACATGTTAAGCTCCCTTCAATATGAGTTATTCACTGAACTGTAGGTCTAACATTTGGAGCTTGATGAAAATGATGAGTTTTGTATTTGTTTGTCTTTATTATTACAATGTTCTAGATCCCTAACCACAGCTACTACTGATTATTGTGTTTAGTCTGTAAGTAAACACAAGTTGTTGAAAGCTGTAATGTGTTTAGGATCACAGCTGCAGGACAACAACAGTTCATTTCACTGTTACCCCTAAAGTCCTCTATATTTGAAAATAGTTTACATTTTGCTCACATAATAGTTGTTCTACCTACAAGGCCATGTACTGCATATTCTTGTCTGTGACTCACCCCTTCTCTCTTGTCTCTCTCCAGCGCCCCGTGCATGAACTCCATCGACACCTCCTCGTTCTCAGCCAGCCAGGCCAGGACAAACTGGAGGAACCACCTGGAATGAGATGTTATTGTTAACCTGCTCTGAGTAGGACCATGCAGTTATACACAACAAACCAACAGGTCGCAACTCTGTTCAGTCTACTGAAATAATGTTGCTTTGACAAACATAAACACTATATTTAGGTCTGAAGCTTGCAGATACAAAAAATGCCTTTTTCAAAACACATGTTTAAGAAGGTCTATCAATTTGTGTAATTTCTTAGTTTGTTCCGTTTTCATAAGAATAAATACAAGAGATGCCTTATTATGAATGATTTTACTCGCTCACGGTTACCATTCTTTACATGTCTTACTCATTTAGAGCATCTTGCATCTGTTTCAACAATGATTCATCAATTAGTTTTGTTAGCATTATTAACATTTTACTATCAGCGCTATTTCTCAGTGAGGATTGCTTTGAGTTAAGGCATACAGTTCTCAAAGGTCTGTTATAATGCACTAACTGAGTAAATGTCAATAGAAAGGCAGAAAGGATGAATCGAGATGAGCAGTCACAGGAAAAGAGAAATATAATGAGAGAGAAAGTGTGTGTGTGTGTGTGTGTGTGTGTGTGTGTCTTACGCAGGGTACTCAGGCACAGTGTCTGTGAAGGCGGGCAGGTCCTTAACATACTCGTTGTAAAGCCACTTGACCTTGAAGTGTAGGTTCATGTAGTCAGCAGTCTTACATAGTCTATGCTTCTCGTGTTCTGTAAAACACAAAACACAACCACAACCACAACACACACACACACAACACACACACACACACACACACACACACACAACACACACACACACACACACACACACACACACACACACACACACACACACACACACACACACACACACACACACACACACACACACACACACACACACACACACACACAGAAATAAACACAAGATGTATATCTTGAGGGGTGCTGCAGGAGTTGCTGGTATTAAGTCTCTTGGTTGTAAAACGTATGGTTTTAATAGAACTTTGGTTTCCCCCCCATTGTAAAGAAAGAAGTGAAGAAAGGCCAACTAAAGAGAGATGAGAGCTGCAAACAGCTGTTTCTACGCAGCTCCCTCTGCAGATTTTAGATAATTATTCACGAATGAAACATATATTTATCGCTCTGATAGTGCTACCATTGAAATTTGGAATGTGCCACTTTGTCTATATTTTCAACTGTATGACATGATATGAAGGCTTCTATATCTAGGCAAATAGGCTCTATATCCTGACTTATTGGAGAGACTAACAAATTATTTAAAAAATCAGACGTTCAGAACCCCTTTAAAGCCAGAAGGAAATAACCCGTTGTTTCATAACCATATTTTACACTGTGACAATTATAGTTCCCCCCCCTAGAATTTGTAGTTAGACAAATTGATTGGACCGGTTGCAATTTGAAAAATTCTTCCACAAAGCGGTGAAATTCTTTACCGTTCGTTTTTCACTGATTGGATTTTGATTGGATCAAATTCCAATCAGTATTGTTTGCGTCAGAAACAGAACAAATATGAAGGAAGGAGAGCAAGGTGTCCAGTCTCCATGGTGATGTTACTTTGGGTACCAATTATGGTTCAACTCCTGCATTACAGACTAACAACACATGAGAAGTGTTAGAGTCAGTGCCACAGTGCACTAATGTAGTTATGTTAAAGGTCCCATGTCATGCTTTTCTGGTTATTACCCGTCCCCTTGTGTGTTATGTAGCTTTTTATGTAAACGGTCTGCAGAGTCACAAACCCTCAAAGTACACCCTGTAGCGAGTAAAACTCTAACACAGAAAAGACCTGTCTATGCTGCCCCAGAACGCCTTGTTGCAGATTTCTCTTTTTCATTTTTTTCTTCCGGGAACCAAGTGACGTAACGACGACCCCATGGACCAATTGGTCCAAATGGACCAATCCGCGGAGCCGCTACGTTACGTCCGCGGAGCCGTTACGTTCATTTTGGACCAATCCGCGGACTTCCTCACACACACACACTCAATCTTTTCTCAGCTGCAGCTCCGCCGATTTCTCCTCCCTGAGACGGCGGGACGCGGCGAGGCTGCGAGTTTGTGTGTGAGCACACACACAAACTCCCAGCCAGGCTGCGGGTGTGCGTGTTCGGGCTGGTTTCGGGCTGGGTTTCGCTGTGTCTCGCTGTCTCGCAGACGGCCACTGGGCTCACAGGGAGGGGGGGGGGGGGCAGGAGCTCCAACAAGCCGTTTAGGACAGAGAGTGAATACACATACTATACAGAGATGCTGTATGAGAAACCAATGTGAGTTTGGAAAATTGCACAATATAAATCTATTCTAGTATACCTCAACAATGGAATTATGATCAGTAGAAATGGCCATGACATGGGACCTTTAAACTATTCTTGCCGTTTCCAAATAATTGAAAAGAGTGTCAAAAGTAGCAAAGGTAACATTTAATTTCTCATAAACAAAAACATTCTCTATAGATCAGAGATTCCCAACCATATAATAATAAAAAATAATCAACTTTCAGCACTTTGCTGTACATAAAATGTGCTGATAGGTGTGCAAAGCTAAAAGGGAAGGGAGTTTTTCGTTCCTTGAGTTGAGAATCTCTGCTATAGATAACTAATTAATAATACACATGAATCACTTTTACACACACATATACACACAGTCTTACCAGCGCTGAAATCAACTTTGCGGATGCGAAATGTGGCGGGAGCTTAGATGGTAACACAAAATGAGAGTTCAGAGAGAAGAGCAGGTATGATAAAGCAAAGGCAGACATACGAATGGCTTAAGACATGGTAAAAAATAATAAAAGTTAGAACACAATACAAGGGAAGTATACTAGACAGGGAAAAATAGCCTAGAAATGGGATTTGTCAGTGATCAAATTTGTGAATTTGAACTCAGAGAACATCTAGGTAAATGACTTTGGGAACGGGTGCTGACTGAGCTACAAAACTCATTTTCCAAGGCACAACGTTACAGTTGTAAATATAGTCTCTACAGTTACTACGAGTCACAGTCAGAAGACAGAATATTGAGTGGCTGAGCACATTTTAAATAACACTATCTGATAGCTTGTTAACGCTGTTCCTGCATTTCAATTGAAAGTCACTCTTACAGTATAATGTAGAGAGGCAATAAATCACAGAGATAGAAACTGTATTTACTTTAGGATCAAAATATGGCAGGAGTCTAAGAAAATGACAATTTTTGTCAACATTCAATGCAGTATACGATACATATTTTCTATAGTATTCTGAACATTTCTAATGAAATACAAGGTTGCGGTCGAATTTTCAAAAAATGTGTCTTTTCTTAATCACTATTCTTTAACCTCAAGGAAAAAACGCCATAGGGTTAAGGAAAGATGATAGGAGAATTCCCCCGACGTTATATTGATGCGCCAGCGGATATTATTAATGTGTGTCTGCTGCTGTGTTCTTTACACTGTCTATTATGGTGTTGTTTTATGCAGACTATATGAACCTGGATGACAGTGAAAAATCTATTCTTCATTACCAAGGTCGGAATTGAAATAAAAAGTAAAGTGGAACATAATTATCCACATGAATCCCAATACTAATGCAAGGCAAGCATAACTTGTCAGGCCTACACATCTATCACTGTGTATATCACCATTCGATCATGTTTTAAACAGTTTAACAAACCCCACACAGCTCAGATATGTTGACTTTATTTGATCATTCGACAGTGAAAAAGTAACGTTCATATTTCTCCTTTTGATTATTATAGTGTTAAACGTTCAAAACAAAGCACTTTGGTAAGTTACGGTATAAGTTGTAAAATGCTTAATGACACCGTAACTTACATGAAACGCATTTCTCGGTCATGATCGGCTGTTTCCGTGAACAGCTGAATGTTTTGACACGATAAGTGTTGCGGCCGCAAGGCATTGTGGGACAGCATTTTCTCCTTTCCTTTCGTAAAGGAAGGTCCAGTGTATCCTAAACTAAAGGAGGTTTCAAAGCTCTAGCTAGTTAACTTCAGCTAACTTTATGCGAGCGGCAACATGGATCGATTTTTAGTGAAGTTACCTAAAGTGAGAGAGGAGACAGCGTCTGGCAGAAAACGGAGGAAGTATGACCACGATTATTTGAAGCTAGGATTTTCATGGACCGGTCCTGGCAGGGGCGGACTAGCCATCTGTGTGAGAATCACAGAACGGCCGGTCGTCAGCGGGCCGTTGACGGCCGGCTCGGTTCGCTGACGGCCGGCACGGTTCGCTGACGGCCGGCACCGCCCTTTATTTTAATTTTAATAATACTTACTTTGATCAAAAGCAAGTACCGGTCAAGGCTGCAGCCAGAGGGTGACCTGCGTTTATTCCTGTCTACATTGCAGCCCCGCATCATCTGCCTGTGCGCATCAAAGACACAGACTCATTGTTCCCACTAAAGTAGGGCTGAGTGTAATAAGGAGGCAAAGTTGACGTTCAGTGAGTTGCCGGGAGCATATAAGGATGTACCCACGATGTTGAAAATGTTTACAATTTTTTTTTAAAACATAGAGATAAAAAGGTTTAAAAAAGTTGTTGTTTAAAGTTTTAAGGAGGTGACGCTACTCAGCCAATCAAATCGGTGCAGTCAGTGAGTCAGCACGATAGATTCAAACACACAGAGACGAGACAAGAGGAGAGAAACAGTCGGAGTCATTTCAAATGGCGTGCTCAAAAGAGAAATGTAGACAGCGAAAACAGAGCATTTACTGACATTTTCTCTTACTGGACCTCTTTGAAATGCAATTGAATACCCCTGCATTATAGCAACAACAACAACAATAATAATAGCAATAATAATTGGGAGGGGGGGCGCGGCTGTTCTTATGTTCTCTGAGGGGAGGCTCACCTTCCCACACTTTGAAAACCCTTGATCGAGAGAATTCGAACAGCTCTTATCATGGCTGACACTGAGGTACTTCACTTCGTAAGCACAATAGAAAAATCGACCGCAACCCAAGTCTATATTCTATGGACACCCATTACTTCGCTATAATCTCACCATTATTCCGGCGGTGGTAGTCATTTTTATACAAAACTGAAAGAGATGATGGAAAGAGAAGAAGGAGAGTTGATAATGAAAGTGTGAATGTTGAGGGAGAGCAAAGGCGGCAAGCTGGTACTCCTTCTCTCTCTTACACACACAGATACATACACACACAGCATATGGACACGCATACTCTTACCCTCCAGGGCATATTTCATGTCCTGAGAGAACAGCCTCCAGATGACCTCAGCGCTGACTTTACCCACGTCCAGTTCCTGAGGAAACCTGAAGGGGAGGCAGAGGTCAGAGTTCAGGCAAACAGTGAGAATATTGGCTAATCTGGTGGTGACAGCATCCGCAGGCAAGTTGGATATGTACACACACATGCATTCAAGCAGAAGACACACACACCCTGCCTGAAACGCCTCCATTGAACTCCTTTGTTTACTTCAGTGACTTAGTGAAATCACTATGCTTCTATTGTCTAGCGCTCCAACTAATTGAACGTGAAAGGCTAAGGGGCGGGACATCTCTAAGTGGTTGACCAATCACAACATTGTAAAATTGTAAACATGCTCTAACCAATCAGAGCAGACTGGGCTCTGGTTTCAGACAGAGGGTGAAAAGAGGTGCTGCAGCACACATTTTATAAACTATGAAATGATGGAAGTTGACACACTTTTCGGAGAACTACACACGGTAATACAAATCAAATAAAACTCCGACTGGTCCTCACTGGTTGATGATGGTTGTGTAGGAGTTCTTGTCCTCCTCGATGATGGAGACGATGAGCGTGATGAGTTTTGGCCAAAATTCCAGATTCTGAATGCTCGGACCCTGCTCCTCCTGCTGGTTCTCCTCTTTCTTCTCCTCCTCCTCCTCTTCTTCCTCCTCTTCTTCTTCCTCCTCTTCATCCTCTCCCTCTTCATTGTTTTCCCCCTCCTCTCCTTCCACCTTTTCCTTCTTCTTTTTCTTCTTCATCTTCTTTTCCTTCTCAGGCTTAGGCTGCAAGAGGGAAAAAGACAGAAGATGACATTTTGTGTGTTTAAGAATTGTACACTTGTGAATATCCTGCACGTGCACAGAGAATAAATGTTGCTTTGAAATGAATGGCACAGAACAAAAAAAAGTTGTATCGCTTAATTTATTCCAATAAATGATCTTCAGTGAGTAATTCACAACGAATGAGTGAATACAATAATATCCTATATCCATATTGATTTGTTTCAAATTGTCTAGCTCCATGTTTGTGTGACGAAACTTTACACACTCCATAAAGCTTAAAGTATTGTTAATTTATACTAAGCACAGGCTGGTTTGATGACTTTAGACACATCAATCTTTCCAGGCACTGTTAAAGAGACTCTACTGATGGAGACTTATTTAATTAGTGCATCAATAAGGGTTAAGACCAGCATGTGTTTCTACACTGAAGACAAATATAATAACATTTCATGAACTGAAATCAAAGATCTAAGACTTTTTCTATGTACTCAAAAGTTCTATTTCTCTCAAACATTGTTCAGAAATTGTGTAAATCTTTGTTAGTGAGCACTTCTCCTTATATGGATAATCCATCCACCTCACAGGTGTGGCATATCAAGATGAAAACACAAATGTTCCAAAACAATGTGCTGTTGTTTGTTTGTTGAAGTTTGTCAAGAACCAGTGGACATTTTTTATTGGCAAAAATGTCCATGTGTACATATGTATATTTTACTGATATCAATTTTGGTCAACCAGATTTGGGAGGGCTCATTTCAAGTATCTACTGTAGAGTTTCAAAAAGATGCTAAGAAACTCACAGGTGGGACGGCGGGCTGGAACTGGCGGTTGAAGAGCTCCTGACAGTTGTTGAAAATGTACTCGTAGGTGGAGTTCAGGCAGGCCTTCACACAGTCCCGGACAACGTTGGCGGCCCTCGGAGGACTCGGCAGCTCCAAGACCTACGGACAAGGCAGAAATAAAGTAGAGGAACACAGACATTTAGGAGTAGTTAAATATATAAATATTATCAAATCCCTTTGGTCAGGTAATCTAGGATATAAACATAGAAAAGGAATAGAAAACAAGCATACACACACAGTTTCACAAACTTTTCAAAAAGTGTGCAAAAGTGTGTTTGTGTGTGTGTCGGTGTATGTTTGTGTGCGAGTGTGTGTAAGTGTGTTTGCTTTTGTGTTTCTATTCCTCTTGCCGTTGAGCAAAATTGAAAAAGTTGGACATTTTGTAGAGGCAGTTCAGTGGAGACTTCCCATGGTCTACCCGTTTTGGAAGAAGATCCTTTACTTAAGTAAAAGTACTAATACTATGGGCTCAGAATAAACCATAGTATTAGTACTTTATAATACTCCATGACAAGTAAAAGTCCTGATTTCAGGTAAATAAGCAGCATCCAACAATTAACATGTATTCTGAAGTCAAGGTATCATGATTTGTTTCTACCTTCATCCTGAAGAAGGTGATGCTGGTGAGGAGATCCACTGTTGACTTGAGGTCATGCAGGCGAGGCTTGCTGCTGGCTGGGAAGTTGTTCTATGAAAGAAACACACACACATATTTGTTTAGTTTTTCATCAGTTTTTTGCTAAAGCATTTTAGCATATTTTTCTCTTTAACCAATATATTTTTGCAATCATGTCCCTTGTTTGTCTCTCTAATGTTCAACGCATTACCAGCATAATGAAGACAAAAAGCAAGTGTTACATCATTCTGACAAAAAAATATGAAAGATGTGCAGTGAACCCATGAGATAGCAACATAAACAACATCTGAGCAGCTAAGAAGAAAGTATTTTTGACATCAAGAGCATATTGGAGGAAATAATGAAGCCACATGACAGCAGGAGGTAGTCAAATATTAGTTGAAGACATTTTGAGGCTGTTTATCCGACTTGGTTTCATTCATATTCATACATACCAACCTTTAGTGTGAATGAATGGGGCCAATGTCAGTGTGATGGACTGAATCTATAGATCTGTGAGTGGTGAAGGACAGAATAAAAGCAGCTGATAGCGGGGACTCACTCTGTACATGGAGAGGTCGATACGCAGGGAGTTGTGCAGCTGATCCAGGAGCTTCACAAAACGATCTCTCTGTCAGAAAGAGAAAAGAAAGGCATTTTTGTTCAGACAGCAAAAAAACAGACAATTTGCAGCCTCTGTGTGTGTTTGAATGTGTCTTATGGCGCATTTCCACTGCAGGGCCTCGCACGGCTTAGTACGGTATAGTTAGGCCTTGGTAGGCCAGGCTCACTTTATGCTGCATTTCCATTACAGTTTAGGAACTGGGGTAGTAACTATAGTAACGCAGTGTAGGTGAAGCCGTGACGTCATCTTCAATGCAAAACACAAAACCAACATCAGCCGTTAGCTGTTAGCCCTCAGAACTCACAGCTCCTCATATCTGTTCAGAAACTAGACAAAAGTTAAACAAGTACAAACCACAGACTGTCTTTGTCATGGCGAATATAGTCGCTGGTTTATTTATGTCTGTATAGGCCGTTGTTGTGAGTGTGGGCGGTCGGAGCATATACAACGTTAGCTTAGCCAAGCTCCATTCAGAAAACACACATTTTAAAAGGTTTTTCGCCTGCCGTCTGTCTGCAGACTTGTCAAAGCATTAATTCATGGTTTTTACTAACCGGTATCAGTATGTTGTTACTTCGGCATCATTTTGAAACGTGTATTACAATTAAATCACGGTAAAATATGTTCATTTTGTTGTAGTTGCCAGCGATTCTCTCACTAGTTTAGCATAGCCCGGTTGTTGGCCCGGAAAGAACCTCGATTTTGGAGAGCCAGAAAACTGTTAAAAGGTACCGGCTAGCCGGAACTACGCCTAGTGGAAACACAACCAAAAACGGGCCGGGCACAGCACGGCACGCTTAAACCACGCTGTAGTGGAAATGCGCCATTACAGTGTCTGTCTCTGGAAGTAGTCTAGCACTTTGGAGAATTACACAAGGGCTGAAATGATGCAGAGGAAAATAAATGATTTGTCCGAGACATATATATAAAGAGGAGCCATCACTCTTCTGCACGAAATATAAAACCATTAGAGATCCTGACTGTGTGACCCTTGCTGATAATGAAAAGCTTTTTTCCCCAGAGGGAACAGAGAAACACTGCACGACTGGCAGTCTGCTTTAGTACATGCTGCTCCAAGAAGAGACAGCAAGATGACAAATAATTGTTTAACACAGATCTTATAGGAATACTTCACCCACACAATGACTATTTTTATATAAATCACTTAGCCCGTGTTACCTTGAAGTCTTCAAGAAACTCTGCTTTTCTTGCTTGCCTCCACACGATTTGAAAAACAGTGAGAAGTCTTGATGAATTCTAATTATGTTTGGATTTAATTTAACAACTTTGAAAGTACTGTATGTTCAAAACATCCATTTAGAAAGTATTTCAACCAAGCCTCATCTGTCCAGTTCTACAGAAGCTCACTACTTAGAAAACACATGCATTGTCACTAACCTTACTATTGACATAGTTCTGATTTGTTTAGATGGTCAGCGCTCCTGACACCATCATGAGACATTTTATGCAGAAGTAGCTGCATGTGTTTGGTAAATACTAAGACTGCAACTGGACAAATGAGACCGTTCCCCATTCACTTCTTTAAGACTTTTCTCCGTTTTAGGATTCTCTGTTTATTGTCGAGGCATGCAAGGGAAACAAGGGTTTTTCTAGAAATTCAAGGTAACACGGGGTGAGTTATCCATCCATCAACCCATCCATTTCTAACTGCTTGTCAAGAATCGCAGAGGAAGCAGTTCCAGTAGAGGGTGTCAATCTTCCCTTTCTCTGGCCACATTAATCAGCTCTGATTGGGGGATTCCAAGGTGTCACCCTTACCAAGCGCCCAAACCACCTCAACAGGTTCCTTTCTACTCAAAGGAGCAGCTGCTTTACTCTGAGCCCCTCCGAGATGACTGAACTGCCCTCCTTATCATTAAGGGGGATGCCAGCCACCCTCCGGAGGAATACCGGGGTGTTAATGACATGCTTTTTAGACACAAAAGATTGTGACATTTTTCTCTAATGTTACATTCATATAACAGATGCATTTGTTAAGGAGACTTGCTCACTCACATGAAGGGTATAGCAGCAAATGTGCTACAACGGCATAAAACACTTCCATTAGGAAAAAGGCACTGCAGCTTTAAAAACGATGCAAATATAAAAACATACATGTGCCAGAAGACATGCAAATGAATAAACTTCACAACACAGACAGATTTAGAAAACATCACCAACTTGGCGAAACATGCATGGCATTTACTCAAAGCGCTGCATAAACGAAACGCTGCAAATATAAAACACTCCCAATAAAAAACCGCTGCAAATAAAAAACGCTGCAAGAAGCTCAAAACAAACAGATGCACGAAACAAATGATGCACACAGCTGGGACCCGAAGGCTAGATGATGGTTGGGGATTACAAAGTTGGCCAACTGTACGTTTTATCAGCTTGGTCAATGTGATCGCATGATGTTTCTTCCTCTGCATGTGTTTTTGCACATGTTTGTGTTTTTATATTTAAATTGTTCCTGAAGCTGCAGCGCATTTCTCCTATTTGAAATGTTTTGGGCCGCTTCGGCGCATTTGCAGTTGTCAGCCACCATATGAAGGGCCTGCCCATAGGGAGCCATTTTCCGGGGATCCATCCACACTTTGATTAACAGCCAACCAGCTCTTCCGCCTGAGATGCGGCCAGGAGTGGTATCCCCATTGCTTATTTTGTAATTTATCCACTACTTTCCTTCATATGCTTTGGCAACACAAATGTATTTCCATGTCATGCCAAGAAAGCAAACACGAATTGAGAGAGAAAGAGAGTATTCTGGCGTAAGGGAAATCACGACATGGCTGACAAACTAAGGAGATAAAATTAGTTTTTGTCTGATAGAGGAAACGAGAGGAAAGTGGTAGGAGAAGCAGGAATATCAGCCTCACTGGAAATTGGCAAAAACCCAATAGTTTCACATTTATCTAATAGGTAAAGTAATAGCATTGGATGATCCAACAATGGTGAATTTGATTATGTAACAATTTGTTTAAAAATCACTTACTGTACACCATCTTCTTTCCTTTTTACAAAGCATCATTTGTGTGCATTTTTAGATTATTGGAAAGGGTTTCCCTATGTTATTATCTTTGGATGAAAGTCCAAACAATGGCCAACATTACCTGGCGTAAAAACACCAGTATTGGTAAAGAGCAGTCAGTAAATTGCCAAGTTTTGATCAACTCTTGAAAGACTCTTTAAACTGTTGTTTTGTTTGTGTCTCTCTGTGTGTCCCATGGTGGCAGGAACAAGTTGGGAATTATTTTACAGAAGGCAGAGACAGTTTTATCTTTCTGACTCATGGGAATTAAGGGAGGCAAGGAGATGAGTTTGGATCGAAAAAGGGAGGGATAAATGCCCTAACATTAACTTTCACAACTTTATGCCAACATGTATCTCTAACAGGATAAGGCTGGGAAATATTTTTCATTTTCATCAAACCCTTTAAAAAAAACAATGCCAACAAACAAATGCTGCCTTTTTTAGGATATGTAAGAAAAATATGTATCACCAGTCATATCCCTAAACCATAAACATTACCCTAAAATATAAAATCAAGACTAAAACTTAAAAGAGGACTCATTTTCAGGTTCATATTTCTATGTATTTTGTGCCTCTCCTGTGACATGTTTCCATGCTTTATTGGTCAAAAAGGTATTTTGCCTTTGGTCTTATTTGGTCACCCTGCGTCTGAAACCAGAGCCCAGTCTACCCTGATCGGTCAACCCCTTAAAGTTGTCCCGCCCCTTAGCCGATCACGTACAATGTATTGGAGCTCTAGCCAATAGAAGCGTGAGTTAACAAAGGAGTCCAATGGAGGGACTCTGGAAGGAACACATGGATTTGAACACAAACCTATTAACAAACTACAGGAAAGGGAAAACCCAAAAATGCATACAGTATCAGGGCCTCTTTAACTTTCAAACCTCTGAAAAAGTGAGAGCCCGACAAAATGTCTTCAATTCCACTAGCCCCCCCCCCCCCCCCCACCCCCACACACAAACACGGACCTAAAATAAGACAATGATAGTTCAGTTTTGACCTTTAAAAAATAACACATTGTCACATTGCCCTTCCTTGTAATTGGCTCCATTCTCCTTGTTCCCCTCCCAACATGGGCAGACTACACCCTTCAGGTCTACTGCAGTGTTTATCTGAACATCCCTGTCCTCTGCTGCTGGACAAAATTGATGTGCTCATAAAACATTTGACATATGTTTCAATTCATCGGATGTGTAATACATTTCTTTTTTTTTTCACTGGGAATAATTGATATGACAAGCCCAAAGGCCTCACCTCACAATTCAGTTAAGTGGCCTGAGCGAGAAAAGAAAATCTAAATCCTCATTTTAGATTAGATTAAATAGACTTTATTCATCCATTATTGGGATAATATCATGAAAAAGAATAAAAATAAATACAACATAAACAGTTAATAATTACATAGTAGAAATTATATATATATCAGTGTCTTAATAATTCCCAATATAAAAATATTGGTTTCAGCACCAAAGCAAAGTTGTTCTTGTGGAGCAGGTGCAGAACCACCACAAGCTAATAAAGGGTGCCTTTAAGAAGTTGCCAAAGGCAGACAATATTGAATTATCCTGGGAGGAAACGGCATGTGTTGCTCTGTTCCTGGAGGAACTGTTCCCCAAAGCAAAACAAATTGAAGAGCCAAACTGAAGTTGGTGAATAACCTTTTATTGTTAATTTGCGTATAAGGCAAACATGTAAGAAACAGACCACTCTATTTAGCAGGTCAGGTACTTAACCTCTTAAGCACGGCGGTGCCACCCCCCCTCCACCCCTCCTCCCTCCGGCTGAAATTATGAATGTAAGGCGTATAGTAATCATAGATAACACGGCAGGGTCCGTTAGAGTTTGTTTTCATCTAATTTCAAATAAACAAAGTCTTGGCTTTCAGAATATGAAACTTGTTTCGGCAAATTCAGATGATAAATACAACTTTGAAGCTTGTAACGACATAATAAATAACGGAGTAACTTGACGTC